GTATTAGCATTTGCAACGATCAAGGTCGTAATTTCTTGCTTACCGGAAAGTAAAATAACATATTTGTAACTATTGAGTCGATTTGAACATATTTGTAACGTTCCATTCATCACTATTGAGTCAATTTGAAATCGTTTTTGAAATATTCTTAGCTTACGGATTGAGAGAAATCAAAAACCAAGTGAATAGTCTGAGGTTGTAACTGTTGTTTAGTGGCTGAGTTTTCCATTTCACTGCATTACACTAATTTTCACTAACTACATTGAAAATGTACAAGCTCTGTTCGATCAGATTTGACACAACAAAGCTGATCTGAGCTCTCTCTTCACCGGCCGGAGAGAAAAACGGGTTCAAGGTTATTATCAATCGACTCTTTCACAGCATCAACAAGCAGCTGCGTCTTCCGACTAATGCTCAGCCAAAACCCATCCGGTTTAGCTCCTTTGTTTTTGATTTCTCCAACCAACCGAGCAAACTCTATCACCATACATGCCTCTTGTGGAAGCTCAGTCATGACTTTGTGTTCATTAAGACAACTTCTAGTGCTTGTAGTAAACGAGGCCTCGGTTTCTTGAAACGGTATAACAAAGTCGTGGACACGGAGCGTGCCTTTTGTACCGATTGCGGTTACCTCCATAGTTAGATTCGCCAAGAAAGAACAGTAGATTGTTGCGGTTATACCTTCTTCCCAACTGAGCAATGCACCGCAAGAGAGAACGATTCCTGCATCGTTTAGTACAGGACCGGACAAGGCAGTGACGGTTTCCGGAAGTTTGAAGTCGTTGGCAAGAAGAGCTGCTTGGATTGTGTACCACCCAGCATCACCTAGTGCACCTAGCCCATCAAGACCAGGCTTTACACGAATGTCGTTTCTCAAGAAATCTTCACTTGCTGCAAATGAAAAACAACTATGTACCTGCATAATCGATTCAATTTTTCCCTAATTTCAATTCCTTTAATAGAAACTTCACTAAATTCCTGCATCATCATCATTTTGTACTCGATTTTAAAGATATACTTACGGATTTGAGGTGGCCGAAGCTGTCTGGATCGGTGATGAGTTGTTGAATCTTAGCAGTTCTGGGATTGTGCATCCACTGAGTCCCATCCACGAACTGAACACCGTAAGCCTCGCAAGCAGCGAGGATGAGATCGAAGTCGAAAACGTTGAGAGCGACGGGTTTATCAAGGAGAAGATGCTTGCCGTTCTCGGCGGCGCGTACGGCCCACTCGACGTGGAGGCTGGTGGGGATAGGAAGGTAGACGGCGTCGACATCGGGATCTTGTAGAAGGGATTCGTAGGAGGAATGAATCTTGGCCGTCGGAGGAAAACCGTTAGATGCAGCGAAAGATTTGGTTTCTTCGACGGAGTTGGTGATGCTTGCTATGGCTGCAATGGTAGCGTTTGGAGCTAAATTAATGGCGCGAGAGAGCTTGCGGACGATGTTGGTGCAGCTCATTACTCCGATTCGGATCGGGTGGTTATCGTCGGACATTGCTCTCTCTCTCGGTCTTTTTTTTTGTCCGTCAACACAGAGGAGAGGGAATAAGTCTAAACTTTGGTCACTCTCTAAGCATTTTGATTGTTGTCGTTTAAACATAGTCATTTATTTATATTAAATTGCTTATGCTGCGTTTATATTTTGTTACATGTCAAGATTGAACAACGAACTAAAACCGATTAGACTCTCTGAAACGAAGTGATGTAGTCTAATCTATAACTCTACAGAATAATAATAATAATTCAGACCAACATCTGACTAACCTCACATATAAGTTATAGTGGCCGAATAACATCCCCATTAAAAGGGTAATCGAATTCTCCGAACTTTTTGCTGTTGTTCATATTTTTAGTTGAATGATTTGATTCCTAGGTTCACGACAAAAAATACACAAAAAGAAGGGACTTTTTAAACCGTCTTCTTAACTACAATAGCAAAACATTATCCGGTTGTCAAATCTTGGAAAAATCCAA